AGGGGGGTGTCTTCAGAAACTCCAACGGCGATTGGGTGATAGGCTATATGGGAAGCTTGCCACACAGCACAAACACCCAAGTTGAGCTTCTTGCACTGCTTCAGGGATTGCAAATTGCAGAGAAAGAGGACTAACACCTCTCGAAATCAGCACAGACTCGACAGAGGTAATAAGAATGCTTAATTTAGGTAATCATATTTTTGACTCAATTATCTTTGAATCCAGGTCAATCATCCTAAGATTGAGAGGCAAAGTGGTAAAACACATCTACAGGGAGAAGAATAGAGTAGTTGATCTGATGTCAAATGAATGAGCCAAGAAAGACCTTTTTGGAAGAACAACAATCTTGACAGTTCCTCCGGCATTTACAACTGAAGCTTTTTGGCAGACATCCTAGGAACTGTATTTTTTAGAAAAATTATGGAATGTAATGTTAATATTGTGGAACTAAGCTCATGGGGCACTTCATACCCCCTGAAGGTGATGTACCTATTTCCCTTTAGATGCTAATATATATAATCATCCCTTTAACCAAAAAAAAAAATATTGATTGTTAAGTGTGTCAAGTGAAATACAGGGATTGAAATCGAAATAAACAATAATTTGAGAACAGAAAATTATTGTTTTCCTTTTTATCTCTATTCGGGTATTTGATAAAAGTAGCTCAATCTGTCTGGTGTATAAATTACTTCTCTGCCCATATATTAATACTTTGTTAGGGGGATTCATTAATTTCTTTCTAAGCTGACAAAAATATTATTTATTTTGTTAAATGTAATATATTGACCGTTTACGTCCCCCAAGTTTACTCTAAAAATCAAACTCATCCTCCAACTTTGAACAATTGTGATTTTCATTCTTTTCTCCTACATAATTTCTATTTTGCTCTTGACATTTTCAAGTGTATATATATATGTATACCTTTTTATATTGTCTAGATATTTTTTAAGGAAGGTATTTATTCATAATTTAAATAATACTATATCTTATTATATCATTTAATCTAAGTTCACTAACATTGTAAATAAAATAATTATATATGAATATATTACAAAATATATTGCTACTTTATTATCATTATTATTTTAATATTATGTATATTAAAATGCATATAATGTATGTCGGTGTGTATGTTTGTGAGATTTTAAGCTTCACTATTTTTATTATTCTTCATGTGTATATAAATTTTTGAGTTTTTATTGTTATTAATAATTTTTTTCTAAATTATAATTAAAGTTCATGTAAAATATAAATAGATATTTTTTACAAATTTATTATAAACAACAACAACAAAAATAACAAACCTAACAAAATCTCACAAGTGGGGTATGTGAAGGGTAGTGTGTACGCAAACTTTACATCCACCTTATAAAGGTGGAGAGACTGTTTCTGATAGACCCTCGGTTCAAGAACAGTGAAAGGAAGCAATAACCAATTAATAGTAACAACAAGGTAAAAGGCAGCGGAAGCAAATGGCAAACACATGTAATAACCAAGATCAAGAAATACGAGAATACACGACTAGTGCCAACTACTAGTAATAGTGATGCACCGTGTAATAATAGCCAGCATTTGCAAAGTCATTGAAAAATAGCCACTATTTTGCTGCAACACGAAAAATTAAAGCATAATATACTGGAGATTGGTGCACCTATGTATGAACTTCCAGCATATTATGCTGGAACTCCAACACACGGAAAGTTCCAGCATAATATACTGGAGATTGGAGCACCTGTGTATGAACTTCCAGCATATTATGCTGGAACTCCAACACACGGAAAGTTCCAGCATAATATACTGGAGATTGGAGCACCTGTGTATGAACTTCCAGCATATTATGCTGGAACTCCAACACACGGAAAGTTCCAGCATAATATACTGGAGATTGGAGCACCTGTGTATGAACTTCCAGCATATTATGCTGGAACTCCAACACACGGAAAGTTCCAGCATAATATACTGGAGATTGGAGCACCTGTGTATGAACTTCCAGCATATTATGCTGGACCAGTATATTATACTGAAAGTCCAGTATATTATGCTGAAACTCTAGTATATTATGTTAGAACTCTAGTATATTATGCTGGAACTCCAGTATATTATGCTTGAATATTTTTCGAATTTTGAACATTGTTTTCGTTTAGATTTATCTTTACATGAAAAGTGGCTAAATTTTGATATTTTTTAAACTGTGGCTAATTTTCAATTACCACTTATAAATCTGGATATTTTTTAATTTCACCCCGAAACCTCGGCCCCTCTTTTTTGGACCCTTAAACAACAATTTTAGCCCAGGCCCAATGATACTAAGTCGCCGTACTATTGGCAAGCAAGCAACCACAATCTCTTAATTGAATAAGCTGCCAAGTGGCAACTCTAAATAATCTGCTTATTTTAAAATTTATTTTTAATTAAAAGTACTTTTTTAAAATGTAGTTTGAAATTATAATAATTTGTATTTGACAAATCATTTTAACAGCGTGCTTTTTTTAGTGTTAGAAAAGGATTCTGTGTTTGATCCATCCTTCCAAAAAAATACTTCTAATTATACGCGTCAAATTAGTAAAAAGATATGTACAAATTTATTGAGAAATGAAGATTTTTAGTGTTGGAGATATATAATTAAGTCGATAACAAAATATTTTAAGTGTCCAACTATCACATTTAATAAAAAATTAAGCTGTTAAAAAAAATATATTTTATATACCGACTTAATTATATTTTTTTAATAGTTAATAGCCCTTTACATACAGGCTTGAATTTTTTATGAGCCAAACACATAAAAAAAATTTTAATAATGGGTGACAGTGCCAACTGCCAAAGTTTTTAAGTTTAGCTTCTTTTATTTTTCTTATTGGCGAAGGTTCTATAAATCACAACTATATTTAAACTTCTCGTGTCGTTAATGTGCACTTGAGAGCAGCAACAAGGAGAAAGACAAGGCTATATTAATTCGTTTTCTTGGATAAAGGAGATTTACCTCGAGGTATCAAGTTCAGAGGCGCCCAGAATTTGAAATTATTGGATTCAGGATTCTAGTCTTTTTTATGTTAATGGATTCTAAAGTAATAATTTATATATATTCATTCTTAAGACAAATATAGAATTTGTATTAAAGCTACTGGGTTCGATCAAACCCGTTATCGAAGCTCTAGCTCCGTCCCTGTGCAAGACATGTTTATTCTCTTTGTTTATTTCTTACTTTTGTTATAATAATTTATTTGGATTGACTTTTATATGGCACACCACAATTAAAAAAAGCAAGCCATATCTGTTTTTGCATGTTGAGGGGCAAAAAAGCATATAAAACTATCTAAAGTGAACATTCAAAAATATGATTTTTCTCAATTTTCGTTTAACTTTGATTGGACAAACTAGTTTTAATATGTACACTTGTTAGAAAAAAGTTTTGAATTTCTTATTCAAATTATTCAAGTTGATTAATTGGTGGTGGTATTGGACTCACAACAAGTCATTATACTACACACACATATATATATAGATTAGTTTTAATGTTGGGAAGGATAGTGATGTTCTAAACAGTTTCCACGACCTCTGCCATGCTTGTGTCTAGCTCTTTTTAGCCGACATATAGCTAAAATTTTATTATAAAGTATTAAGTACTTGTTAAGGTCAAACTAGAGAGATTAGAGTATGTGAGTGTGAGTGATTGTAGGCCCAATGTTTTTTAGCTATTGTGTTTTGGGTCCGCTCTCGTGTATCTCAATTAATCACACAAAAAATTTACTACCTCCCACTAGTATCAGAAGTTCTATCTATCAAATCTTAGATAGATAAGAAGAAATTACCTAGTATTTTTACCTCCGCTGGAATTTAAACTTAAAATCTTATAGTTCTCAACTCACTTTATTGACCACTAAACTACATTATCGTGTTCATTAGCCCAAATTATGTTAGGTCATGTGCTAAAAAATGGCTTAAAGTATGCCAAGTGGTTGTTAAAGCCAAACTAGAAGTGTATGTGAACTAAATAGAATTACATAGGATATCAGCACGACTAAAAGTTGCGAGAAGAAGTGCTAGAGTGATAATTCCCACAACAAAAATGGAAGTCAAATCGAAGAAATATAGTAAGATATATAGATACATCAGACATGCATGGTAAGAGTCAACTCGAGTGATTTATCGTTATTCGTTACTTTTATACAGTAACTAATTTATGTTGGATATTATGAATAGCTTAATCACACATTGATAGAACTTAAATTTCTAACATTTGGCAACATTATCCTCAGCTCAAGAAGATTAGAATTAGGCTACATTTGCAATTTCTAGACCGCCAACGGTTGTGGTCGGATGGATAGGATCCCTCCATAGGGGGTGCTTAAGAATGAAAAATTCTGATAGGGAGTGCTTCTCCTATGGACCTTACAACGTGACACTCGATTATCGGGCGATAATGCAGATACCGAACACGGAATGAGAAACCAAATAGAAAAGGCCAATTTCTAGTACTAGAAAAGAAAGATACACAAAGGAAGTGTGAATTCCAAGTACATAAAAATTTAATAAACAACATTCTTATTGATAATAGTCCATAATCAAGTATCCCATTTCAATTAGACAGATACAACAAAATCAGAAGCACCATTAATACCATTTTCATGATGATGATGTACCATTTTGCCCTTTTCATCTTGAGAAATCACAATATCAAGATTGTAAAGCACAGTGACCAAACTAATAGAACACAAGAAAACCAAAACAGGTCCAAATATCCAAAGTACAAGTGTTAATGCTGCATAGAACAACCTATTCCCCACTGTGTTCAAAATGAAACTCTTTTCAAGTAATTCAGAGATGTATTCAATGCTCACTATTCCAAAAATATCTTCTGGACAATTGATTAGGAAATTCACTTGGTTTATGAACCTAATTGAGATGGAATAACAAATGAATGAGAAGAGGAAAATTAGCAAAAGTGTCACATATTTTAGTGCCACCATAAATTCTCCGTGACCGCCATAAACGGCGTCGTTTAAGGGTTTTTTGACACTGTACGTGCTGCTTATTACTGCAGCTAGGCCAGAGCAAAGAAGGATTGATGTTGTTGCCATTAGAGTTGATCCCATTATTGTGTTTCTGAATGTTTGAACTGCCAATATGTTTTTCTTGTCATTGTCCTGCAAAACCAGAATTTTATGTTATATGCATTGATGGCGTAAATTACATAATCATGTTACTTACTATAAGATAATACTATTAAATTCCGATACATTAACAGAATAAAACAATTTTTACAATATTAGATTAAGTACATTCAATTAATACTTAGAGAATAAGTCATGTTACTTGCTACACATGTCAACGTTATAAGGTAGGGTCCAGGCCAAACGCCCCACCACCGCAGGAGGTTAAAGCCTGGTGGATGGATTATAATTTTTTTTTAAAAAGTTATTCGTCCATAAAAGTACGTTCAATTAATAGTTCAATTAATAATTAGAGAATAAGTTATGTTAGTTGTTACAACATGTAAATGTGACCTAACTAGAAAATAAAATATGTTACTTGCTACAACACGACATTAGTTCTTCTTTTGTTAAGAGAGAACAAAAGGGGAAATTGGGTTAGTCATGAGAAAAAGGCTGCTTACTGTGTAAACTACTCTTTATGCATGCATGTGGTTGTGTTTATCTTAAAATTGCTAAAATACACAAAAGAGTACTATAGAGTTTCATCTATTTATAGTATTAGAGAGACGTTATGGTTTTATCATGTAACAACCCCACCAAATTAAACCCTCTTTCCCCCCAAAAAAGAGAAATAAAAATATAAGCAGAAAATTTAATTTTCTTTCCTTTCCCTTTTTTTTTCTTTTCTCTCTCACTTCCATTTAAGAAATTCATTAGACAATCTGAACAAAAGATAGTACGTAACCTTTTTATATATTCAACTTTTCTAAAAGTAGGTGGAAAATGATTTTGAAAGGACACATAACCATTTGAGAAACAAATGTTGTCTCCCTATTGCATTCAAATGCAAATATGCAAAATGGCCACTAATGAAGCTATGGTCCACTCCAAATGACAAGGGAGGAACTATATATGGTTAGAAGAGAGTTAAATTGAATTTATTTCGTCGAAAATTTATATGGTGAAAATAGGATTAAAAATCTATTTGCCATATTGGTGGCTCAAAAATTGATAGATATCCGGGTATAAATATCATATGTAATATCATCATAGAGTATGCTATAAACTCTATGATGATCATACAGTACTTAGTTCGTTCTACTTCATATTTTTTACATTCTAGTTAGTAGTTGAGGTTATTAATGACTAGAGTGTGAAATTTTAATATTTTTCTGAATTCCCTTGTTAAAACGCTTGACTCGCCATGCATGCATCCCTCTCTACCCAAACGAAAGAAAAGCTCTAAACAAAGAAAATAAAAATTCAGGATGCCCGAGAGAAAAAATTCGAAAGATCAAAAGAAGAAGAAGACAAAAACATGCTAAAAATCTTAACTATGATCTTTTAGATAAGCAAAAATCAAACAAACTTGACTATTCCGTTTTGAAAGAAGCGGATTTAAGACAGATTTTGTTGGTTCAACCAAATTCATTGGTTTTGGCTTAAAACTCTATATGCATATGAAAAACAAGACGTAAGAGCACTCATTCCGAACTCACTTAACTTTTTTAAATCCTAATTTCATCTTTATAATTTTGATACATCTTCAGCAAAGCTTCTGGACATAAGGGACCAAACCTTATAAACAAGGGCGTACGTAGAAATCTTTGTAAGCGATATCGAAATTTATAAAAAAAATTGAAATATAACTTTGATTATCGTAATGTTAGACAAGAAATAGCCTTAGTCTATTGGTTATGTTTAGTCTGAAGTTAGAAAAAGTCTTGAGCATGCTCTCTCAAATATTTACAAAAGAAACATTTGCTAATTGGGGTTTGAACCTGATAGAGCAAAATCAAGCACATAACCAACCACCAAGACACGACTTATGTCAAGTGATGTCATTTTTTCCTACTTATCCGTTTATGTACAATATTAATATATATATTTAGTAAAATTTTCCAACGAAGCGGTGTCGCGTGACACCTCTACGGTATATCCGCCCCTGCTTATAAAACACTAAAATACCAAATCTACACAACCAATTTAATTAAAGATATTGGAAAGAAAGAAAAAAAAACAGACAAAAGAATTGAAGAAAGAATCAGTACTAACTTACCTTCATAATGGCAGAAACCCATAAACGTCTGCCATTAGCATTGGTTCCAATAATAGTTTGAAAAGGTTGTGTCTTAACCTTATGCCATAACCAAATATGATATCCCATACATATCATAAACCCTAATGGAACTAATATTACATCCAAATAACACTTCCTCCATTCCATTTCTTTTCTTTTTACACTACTTGTTTCTCTCTTTGTGTGTGTGTGTGTGTGTTTTTCCTCCCTTCTGATAATATTAATGGAGGAGGACTTATAAGTTTCACCTTTCTACTCAATTGGTTTATGTGCTAGCAAGCAATATATATAGGTATATATAGTTTTTAAGTTCTATATATGCATTGACAGTGTACATATAACTTTAATCTTTACATAAATGCACATGGGATTAAGTTTTATGCATTGATGGAGATAAAAATATTTACATAATCATGTCACTTATAAGATAATATAGGCAGGCGGAGCCAGGATATAAAATTTAACTTGCCACTGAATCAATATATAGTTGCTTTAAGTATTGTGCTCACAACTATATATTTATATATATTTAATGAATTTTCTGATACAAATATATAAGATCTAACAAATACAGAATCTAACAAAAAGTTATTGGGTTCGTCTAACCTAGTAGCTAATATTGTAGCTTCACCTCTATTATATAGGTAAATCTCTTAATGTAGTAACCTAGTTAAATACAATGAACATAGACTTGTTTGAAGGAAATATCCCATTTTAAAGGAAAAAGGGGCTTGTAGATAAATTAAAAAAAAGGTAGATTTCCACTTCATATTAAATTAGAGTATCCATACAAAGGAACATTACACATCCATTTCTTTAGCAGTTCCAATTCCATTTTTTATTCTCGTCAATTTCGCAGCCTCATTGTTAAAGATTTCCTTATTAAAATGTAATGAAATGTAACTTGACCTACTAAACTTTGTATTTACTAATTATCATTTTCGTTAAATACATATTAAACCTAAACAACATTTTAATTAATTAGGATAGATTTCAAGATTAAAGGAAATTTTATTTAGTTTGATAAAACTTCAAATAATACAATTTTGTTTGGTTTGACATATTCATTCAATTGAATCCACATTTAAAGGATTACAAGCTCGGGACTCTGACGAAATAGAAAGTTTCAGCATATTCAAATTTATTGAAGTTCGTATTGAAAATCCAAAATTGTATCAAAACAAATGATTGAATGATAAAAGCAATCATTTGTAGTCATTATTATTGATCATGAGTGATAATAAAATTACTAAATCAAAGTAGTAATTACCCATCTAACTAAATAATTCTTAACTGCTGATTTTTTAAGGCAACGTGTAGCCTAAAATAGTAAATAGTAATGTTGGATTGGTTGTTGTTATTATTATATATATCTAAGAACAGAAATTCAATGTATCGATACTAAATTTCTTGTTAAATATATGCCACAACTAAATAGTTCCATGTAACTCGTAAGTGTCATGCGGTATGATGGTGGTATTCTTTTTCTTTTTGTTTTTTTATTTTCGCCCGGTGTTCGGTACCTGTATTGGCACTGACTAATTTAGATTCGAGTCACATAATACTCATGAAGGGGGAAGGGGAAGCCCTCTTTATCATAATTTTTTTCATTTTTAAGGTTTGAACTCGAGATCTTTGACAAAAAATGGAGAGATCATATTCATCTCACCACAATCTTTGGCGATAATATAAATAATATAATAGTTGTATTCTCTCTCATAACTTAGTTTTCACTGTTTAGATTGCTTCTATTTTTGTTCAATATTGGTATTATAAAATATTGATTTGCACCCTCAACATTCTATACGAGCCTTCGCTTATCAATTAATTTATCTTTATATTATAATATACATGCAATCTGTAGTTTGTGGGTTGGATGTTGAACAATATATAAAAGAATCACCAATATAGAAAGCAAAGAAACCAACTATTTTTTAGAGACCTAATTTGCTTAGCAAAATGCTGAGTTGAACTCCACTAGAAAGGCCAAAAAATATTAAAATAAACTTCACTAAACCAATGAAATATAAGAGATTAGGCGAGTATAGTATATGAAACCATAGAATAGATTTTGCGAGACGAAACTAAAGTCTTAAGAGGCAACACACCTGTACGCCACTATTAACCTTACTATATAATTAATAACGTGTAAGGGTCAAATTGGCTATTCGAGTTGTTAAAGTTTGTTATCTTTGTATTCACACATTATATATGTGAACATTGTTTATATATACGTGTACGCTTAATGTTATATATACAATATGGAGTAAGAAAATAATATATTATCAATGTAATTTAATATATAATTAACATACTGGTTTCCACTTTAACCACGTCATTAGTTAATGCCCATGTCAGATTAGCAAGATATGCAAAAAAATTGGGAAAGACGTTGTAATTGTTGTTGAGTATAAATATATCGTGACAAGTGACATGATTTAATGTCAATCAACAAGATGAGCCTACAAAAGAGGATAAAAAACAAAGTTATATTAGAAATTTATCTGTGATTATCTCATAAATCACCTAATTGTGTATTACTTTTATGACATCATTATATTGAACTTTAAGCTATATATATATATATGCACTTTCAATCACTCTAATTATATAAAACTTTAAGTTATACTTTTTTAACCTGATTGTGTTTTATTAGGTATTGTACGTAACTATGCGATGATGTTCAGTTTTCTCAATGAAGACCAAAAGGCGAAAAACCGGCTGCGCATTAAATTTGTTTTTAATTAGTGTTAAGATTAGCTTTTTTTCTTAATAGTAATATATTATGAAAAGCAGAAAAAGACAAATTAAGAGTGCAATTTAAGTGCTTTCTGGTTGGCCACCTTCTTAGCACTCAAATTCTGATCTCTCCAATATTTTTCTGAGTTTATGTTTCATGTTCAGTGTAAAAATATTTCATAATCAGGTATAATTATTAACAAGTAATTACAGATAAATTTATACAATAAAATATGTCAAAATTGGTAACTCTATCACAAACATGATAATATTGATAATTTAGTGTAACGACCCGACCGGTCGTTTTGAGCTCTAGCGCGTCGTTCAGCAGTTTGAGGCCATGAGCAACTTCACTTCAGGTATTATGACTTGTACGCGTAGTCGGAATTGAGATTTAGGGAGTTCAGAGTTGATTTGAAAAGAAAATTCTCATTTCGGAAGCTTTAAGTTGGAAGAATTGACTAAGGTTGAATTTTTGAGTAAACGGCCTCGGAATCGCGATTTGAAGGTTCCAGCATGTTCGTATGATGATTTTGGACTTGGGCGTATGTTCGGATCGAGTTTTGGATGCCCCGGGAGCATTTCCGCACCTATTGTGAAAGTTAGCATTTTGGAAGAATTCCATAAATTTGGGTTGAAGTGCATTTCAATATTATCGATGTCCGTTTGGAATTTTGAGTATGAGAATAGCTCTGTATGGTGATTCCGGTATTGGGAGCGCGTCCGGAAGTGGATTTGGAGGTCCGTAGGTCATTTTGGAGTCGTTTGGCGAAAGTTAGGAAATTGAAGATTTTTGAGAAGTTTGACCGGAAGTGGACTTTTTGATATATGTCGGAATCCGATTCCAGATGTTGGAGTAGGTCCGTAATGTCAAATGTGACTTGTGTGCAAACTTTAAGGTCAATCGGACGTGATTTGATAAGTTTCGGCATCGAATATAGAAGTTTGAAGTTCTAAAGTTCATTAAGCTTGAATTGGAGTGTGATTCATGGTTTTAGCGTTGTTTGATGTGATTTGAAAGTTTGACTAAGTTCGTAATTTATTTTGGGACGTGTTGATATGATTGGTGGAGGTCCCGAGGGTCTCGGGTGGAATTTGGATGGTTAACGGATTGAAATTCGACTTGAGGGATCTGCTGAAGTTGTTGTCATGACGGTTGCTGGTTTCCTTATACGCGATCGCGAGTGGAAACCCGCGATCGCGTAGAGTTGTTTGGGGCGACTGTGAAATATGCTATGCAGTCGCGATAATAGACCTGCGATCGCGATGCGGTGGGTAGTTGTGCTACGCGAATGCGGCTGTGGTAATGCGTTCGCAAAGAAGAAATGAGGGATGGCCTGATGCTACGCGTTTGCTCATCGCGATTGCGTGAGGAGGAGTGCGATCGCGAAGTGTTGGGTTGTAGAATGTCGCGTTCGCGTGGGCTTGTGTGCGGTCGCGTAGAGGAAAATGAGGAGGCAGTGTGCTTAGCCTTCGCGATCGCGAAGGCACTCCAGTGATCGCGAAGAAGGGCGGACCTAGGCTGGGCAGAATATTTTAAAAGCGGGGTTTGAGTTCATTTCACCCATTTTCACATGGCTTGGGTGATTTTTTGGAGCTTTTGAAGAGGGGATTTCATCATCAAGCATGAGGTAAGTGATTTCTACTAGTTGTGAGTTACATACAAGTTTTATACATGGATTTAGGCATGGAAATTTGTAAAAATTGTGGGGGTTTCGTAGGAAACCTAGGAATTGGTATTCTTGGATTTTGATCACGAATTTGGGCATAAAATGGAGAATAAATTATATATTTGAGTTCGTAGGGTTATGGTTAAGTTTATCTTCGAATATTTTCTGAATCCGGGCACGTGGGCCCGGGGGTGATTTTATCAACTTTTCGAACGGAGTTGAAAATTATTATAAAATAATTAATTATGAGTATTAGAGTATATTTTGATTCGGTTGCGTCATATTTTTTAGTTTTGGAGCGACGAGCATCAGTTTGAATTGTCGGAGCGGCCTTGGAGCCGGTTATGGAATTTCGGAGCAAGGTAAGTCTCTTTTCTAACCTTGTAAGAGGGAATTTACCCCATAGGTGAAATAAATCAATATGTTCTCCTATTTGTGGGGGCTACGTACGTACGAGGTGACGAGAGTCCGCGCGTAGCTACTATTATGCTTATGTCTGGGTTGTCTAGGACCCAAAAGCATGCTCTACTTGTAATATTCGTAACCTTGTTGTCAATTTAAATTCCTAAATCATATCAAACTTGGTAAATAAACTTTCTAAAAAGTTAAACATCATTTCTTGGCTATTAAAAGAGCAATTGCCATTTCCTTGGATAATTCACCCTTGATGAAGTCTTGATTGACTGTTTGAATGTGTTTATCTTTGTGGAACGAGTCGAATGCCTCGGCATATTAAATAGATACATTTATGGTTCGCGCCGTTCGACCCTCTGACAGTGCACAGTTTAAATATTTGTTGGATCGGGCCGTACGACCTCGGCATGATTTGCGCATGCTTGTATTGCTTGCCTTGAAATTTATAAATAATGATATTGCCTCTTCGGCCTAAGTTAAATTGTTAAATAATGGGAGATAAATTTGGAGATTTCTTAATTATGAAAGAACTGTTTACTTACTTCAAAATATTGAGCTTGCAACCGTTTATATAATCCATACTTAACTATATCATTGATATCCCATTTATAGCTCATAGTAAATGTCGAAGTCGACCCCTCGTCACTATTTCTTCGGGGTTAGGCGGGATACTTACTGGGTACGCGTTGATTTACATACTCATACTACACTTGGTGCA